CCAGCCAGAGAGAGTCTGCTGAACTACGCGTTGTGGGGGTTCGTCTGCTTGCTGCGCCTTGCTGATCTCCACCAGACGCTGCGGTGTGGCGGGAAGATCGCTGAAGATTCTCTCACAGAATCCATGTATGTCTTCTTGAAGCACAGCGCTGATTTCATCCTGCTTCTGGAGCGGGTGACGTGAGAGGAAGTCGGGCACCAGGTGCTGCTTTCCTGGAACGAAGACCGCTGTGGGGTTGCATCGCATCAAGCGCATGAGCATGCGCTGGCATCTGATGGGCGCATCCACGAAATTTTTCGTGTTAACCAGCGGGATCAGAGGCTTGTGGTCCAGATGCAGCTCGAACGACGGCAGTCCGGACAGGAACATGTGCATTTTCTCGCACGTCCACGTCGCGGAGAGTAGTTCCTTCTCAATCTGGGCCCATCTGGTCTCTGGGTCAGTCAGGCTTCTGCTGCAGAACGCGACGGGTTTGAAGACGGAGCCGTGCTTCTGGAGAACACATCCTCCGATGCCGAAACTGCTGGCGTCGGCGCTGACCACCGTCTCTCGTGCTGGATCGTAGAACGCCAGAGCTGGAGCTGAAGTGACGGCTGCTTTCACGTCATCCAGCGCCTGCTGCTGCTGTGGTGTCCAGATCCATGCTACGTTCTTCCTCAGAAGCTCGTTCAGTGGTCTTAAACACTCCTGGATGTGTGGAACGAACCGGCCCAGGAAGTTGATTACTCCGAGCAGAGACCTTAGTTCATTGACATTCTTTGGTGGTTGGGGCTGCTGGATCGCTTCGAGCTTCTCTTCGTCCATGATGATGCCGTTCTTGCTGATCTTCATCCCCAAAAACTTGACCTCGTTCTTCCGGAACTCACTTTTTCCTGTTCAGCTTGAGGCCAGACTCGTGGATCCTCCTGATGACGGCCTCGAGACGTGCATCGTGGCTGGCAGCATCTCCGAACACCACGGTGTCGTCCATGTAGACGATGACTCCGGGCAGTCCGTCCAGCATCTCCTCCATCTTCCGCTGGAAGCACTCCGGTGCGAGCGAGATCCCCATCGGCAGTCGCAGGAACCTCTTCCTGCCGAACGGAGTGATGAACGTGGTCATCTTGGAGCTCGCCTCGTCCAGCGGGATCTGGTAGAAACCGGAAGAGGCGTCCAGCTTGGTGAAGAGCGTCGCGCCACTCAGCTTGGAGGTCAGCTGCTCCAGAGTAGGGATCGGGAATACCTGTCGCTTCACAGACTGGTTGAGTCTCTTGTAGTCAACCGTGATGCGGACACCGCTGCTCTTCGGCTTCGGGACGGGGACCAGCGCAGAGACCCAGTCCGTTGGCTCGGTCTCCGACGTGATGATGCCGTGATGCTCCATCTTCTTCAGCTCCTCTTCCACCGGCTTCATCAGTGGCAGCGGGATATTTCTTGCAGTGGCAAGGGCGAATGGAACAGCATCTTCACGGAGCTGAATGCTGACCGGTGCTGTCTTCAGGAGACCTGCTTCTCCGAAGACGTCTTCGTTGACTTCACCTGTGAATTTCAGTACGCCCAGGCGCGAGCAAGCAGACCTGGAGAGGAGATCACTAGCTGAGTCAACAACGTAGAACACTTCAGGCTCGGCTTTGTTGTTGAACAGGAGTGTTCCGTGCATCTTTCCTTCTACTTTTAGCACGCTACCAACACTTGTCAGAGTATTTGAAGCATGTTGAAGCGGCGGCAGTTTCAGCTTCTTGTACGTTTTCAGCGTCAGAATGCTAACATCAGCGCCAGAGTCAGCTTTGAAAGCGACTCGTTGACCATTTAGAAGGACTGAAACTCTCCATGGCGCGCAAGCTTTGTCTGCTTCGTCAACAAAAATGTTGGGCGGCGATAGTTCTTCAATGGACTCTGTCCGCGCACTCGCTCTGACACCGTTGGAGCGACAAACATACGCAAAATGATCCATTTTCTGACAGTTGTCACATACTTTTCCCTTAGGACAATCTTTCGGAGACGCATGACGTGCTCTTCCACATATCTGCATGCTGTTGGAAAAGTCGGTACGCTGACTATGCTGTTGCCGTTGCGCGGTGGAAGGCTGCGGTTGACGTCTGTACTGCTGGCGCTGCTGGCGCGGCTGCCTGTGCCGCGCCGGTGCACAAACACTACTGATATCAGGCGGATCAGAGCTGTCACGGCCGTTCACGATCTCGACATTACGCATCATCGAAATGACGGTATTTGCAGACACTTCCTCCTCTAGTGACTTCAGCTGAATTCTACGGGACAGCTCCATGTCAGACATTCCTGAGATGAGACGATCTCTGATACGCTCATCAGCGTCAGCGAAGCTGCAATGCTCAGCTAGAGAGAACAAAGCTCTGATGTACGATTCATTAGTCTCGCTTGAGCTTTGAGATCTAAGCTCGAAGTTGTGACGCTCTGCAATAAAGTTCCTTTTCGGAATGAAGTACCCGTCTAGCTTTGAGACAACCACTTCAAAATCCTCCTTCTGCTCAGCAGTAAGCTTAAATATTAGTGCGATATGCTCAGCCTGCGGACCCATGCTGTAAATCAACGCAGCTACTTGAACGTCACCGTCCTCTTTGTGTAGTCCCGATGCCAGTCTGTAGCGGACGAACCGATCACGCCAGGTCGGCCACCTCTCAGGCGATGTGAAGTCGAATTCCTCAGGAGGACGAAATCCAGGCATCTCGACTTGGTTCACAACTAACACTGTTTAAATTAATGTGCTGCTTATGCTTGCTTAAGCTTACTCTAGGTTCAATGCGGCTGCGCCATATTCAAGTCTACGTGTTGTCTGCCCAGACCAGACACGAGCGCTGCTAAACGGCAACTGTATTATCCCGCGAAGCGAGCGGGCGGCGCCGACTCCGGCGGGTGGCGCCCCAGGCAGTACACCGCCATTCGGGGCCGCGGCGTACCAAAGTGCAGCAGCACTGGCGGCGCGAGCAGGGGCGGCCTCAGGGGTACGCCAGTAACATCATGATACAGGTTCTCTCAATAATCTGAGCTGTGCTCATCCTTAGAAATGATATGCAGTGCTTGCGCCCATCGTCTTTCTTGAAGATAAGCGCAACCCGAAATATTGAGGACCGTCAATATAATTGTTATTTAGCACTGTAACGTCGTTTACCAACAGCTCCTGGAATACAAAAGCTCGTTAACTCGACATGACAACTTTGAGTTCATAGAACTTCTTCAGACACGTCAACATCTTCGGTCATCCGTTGGCCGCCACGTAGTGTTAGCCGCATACCCGACGCTGCAAGGTCTTCAGAGACCACAACGCTCGTCGCCTGGGGTTTTGATGCTAGGACTATGTGAGCACGCACATTTCAAATTTTCCTACATATGTGTTTTCACTAATCCATTCTGAATGGCGATTGAACATTTTCAGACGAACATGGGTCGGCCATGTTCTTATAAATTGTTTGCCTCATTTCGATCAGCAGTCATCGTCATTTTCCACCAGGTTCCTCAACATATCTGTAGGATCTAGAACGATTCTGACAAAGTTTCTGAGTTCTATCGATTTAAAATGGAATATACTTAGACGCTATTCAAATGAATAGCGCGGGTAGTTTATTCCATGCAGTCATTAAACGTCCGCTTTGTTCTATTCATTGACTTCAAAATGTAAACAGCACTGCATAATCCGACAGATTCTCTGGCTTTGTTCCAGTTCAAGAAGTGAAGGCGGTGGCTGGCCGCGCCACTCACTGTCCTCAACGTCATGAGACTACGAGGGGCTGCTGGAGCCTGTCTCATACCAAGCAGATAAGACCACATGGGGCAGTGCGCGGCTTATCTGCTAGGCCATGCTGGGGACCGCTAGTCGCCCATGTGTCGATGGTCGCGACCTGGCCGTAGCGTCGCAGCCGTCACTGGCGCTCAGCTGATGGCCCCACACCTGAGGTGAGTAATACATCAGCCCCCCACCGGCGCCAGCGTCAGCCGGGCGGAGTGAGGCCGCGTGTACCCGCTGTGCGGCGGCGCTCGGCGACCGTCCGGTACACAGCACGTGAAGGGCCTACCTAGGGCATTGGTAGGCTGGCGCTGGCTTGTGATCGGCCGATGCCCGCGACTCCGTGGCTGAGTCAAGCTCGACGTCACTGATCCGTTACGAGGCGCAACGGCAGTGACGCGGCAAACGTGTCACCGGAGCTGGCAGTGACGCGGTAAACGCGTACGCCGGAGCTGGCCGCCGCGCGCGAGGACCGTGTCGGCACCCGAGCCGCCGGAACAGAAAAAAATCGACAGGCGGAGCGTACCGGTCGGGACTGAACGACGATGGGAAAGGGTGGTCGGTGTGAGGGGTGATGGAGGGTAGGACTGAGGAGTGAAAATGATCATAATGACCAAATAGCAGCAGGACAATGTGACAACTAGCACTTTGAATGTCAAGTGTAAGATAAACTTTGAGGCAGAAGCATGAGCACCGAGCAAGACGAACTCATTTCAAGCATAGCTTGAATTGCATGGCGAATTAAAAGAGTAGTGATTGAATTGCATGAGAAAGCAAGTCTCGCTGTTTCGTTCAAGTGAATGACAGGAAAGGACAGAACCCACGGCACACCATGTCTGTAGAGAGTGGTCATTAAATTGTCATTTACACGGGAAGGAAAGCCTACTGCCACTGGATAGTGTCAGAGGTTATCCGAGGAAATCAGGTCATTAGTTGAAACGGTTCGAAATGGTAGCTGAGATAGTCGTTTATTGTAGCATCGCATTCTTGTCTAGATTGTTACTGTACATTGACTTGCGTACAGGAAAATGGACGTCACCTGTTTTTAAAAAATAACTTTCCTGCGCTAGAGAACATTGAGCATCTCACCTGCGAGATTGCATTTCAAGGGCAGAATTATTGATTCTAACGTCCGGTCTTTTGTTCCATACATGTTCAAAAAGATACACGTACTTACCCCACTTTAAATGTGCATGGACCTATCCCTCGTCGTCTGCCAGCTCTCCACAGCATACCGATGATCAACCGGCGAATTCTTTTCCAGTAACTGTATTCATGCAAACACGTGCAAGCGCACACACGGTCAAAGCAGAGCAATCAACACGCCTTCCCGAGACCCTGCGTTTAAACCCGTGACACCCGCGTCCCTCCGACACCTGCCGACGCTTCGGTGATCTGACGCCGCCGGTGACGTCACAGCGCGCGTGCGGCTCGGTTCCGCCCACCTGCCAACCATCGCCTGGGGGCGGCCATCACGTACGTCCGCTCTCGTGTCGTCACGTGACTGGGCGGGCGACACGCCGCCGCACGTGACCCGAGGGCCCCCGAGAGCGCCCACGCGCGACCATAATGCCCTGAGCTGCTGAGATGCGTCGCAACCTTGCGCGGCGTCGGCGAGTTTATTTTTTTATTGCTAGGTATTTTGTGTGCACTATTTTGAAGCAATAACAATGATGCCTGCAGGCGGCGCCACCAGCCTGACTGAACCGTCGGAGATCGTAACAACCTTGAGGAGTGGGTGAGGGGAGTCTGGGCCTTGAGAGTCTAGAATGAGTGTGGTGTCTCCGCCTTGTCTGAGCCTGAGGAGTCAGCCTGACCAGGCAGCGTACACGGGGTACGTGAAGGCCGGGTACTGGTGGTACTCGCCAGCCTTTTGAGTCGGCATACGGGTACGGCTGGTACCCGTCGGTGGCTGGGACGAGCCCGGTGTGCGGATACCACGAGCTGTACGGGTACAGCTGGTACTGCTGGTCTAAGTACGGGCCGGAGTGGTGGACGGCCGAGGACTGGTACGCCACCGGATTATGGTACGGAGCGCCCGGGGCGTAGTACGGGACATACGCTGTGAGCAGGGGTGCCCCGTGCGAGTACTGCGGAGACAGCAGCTGTATGAGGGAGGGAGCAGGCCGTGGCGCGAAGGGGTCAGCCTCCGTCACCACTGAGTCCGCCCCGCCGCTGATCCCGACAGCTGCCTGCAGCGCCACCTCTGCCGCCGCCTTCATCTCCGCGGACAGCTCTCCGCTGGTGGCGCCATCTATTGTCGAGAAAGCCTCGTTGCCAACACCACCTGCCAGCCCGCCGGTTTCGCCCGTGCCGCTGCTTGCTGACGGTGACGTCGACTGAGTAGAGAGCTTCTGTGCTGGGACAGAGTCCACCTGAGCCTGTGATTCTGCCACTGATGCCGCCGCAGCCACTGAAACTTCCTCCGCCTGAGACTCCAGCCCCGGTGCCGCCTCCGGTGCTGGCTTCATCTGCGGCTCCGGCTCCGACTCCGGTGTCCGCTCCGGCTCCGGCCCGAACGCCGCCTCCATGCCCTGCCCCACCTGGGGCAGCTCGCGGAGCGCCTGCTCGCGCGACACGACCGGCACTGGTGCGGCCGGGTCGACCAGCCGGTACCCGAAGGCGTCGGACACGTACGAGACGAGCGAGGACGGCCCTCCGGCGGCCCGGTGGCCGTACTGGCCGAACACCACGCCGTCATCGCGTCGCTCCTCGTGCCGGTAGGTGACGCCGCCGTCCTCAGACAGCTGCCGGTACCCGAAGCGGAACGCGCCTGTATCTGGGTCCAGCTGTGAGTACGGCTGGAGCGGCACAGACGACAGCGCCACTGCCGGGTCCGCCTCCAGTTCCACAGAGTCCGGCTTTCTGCGGGAGAGGGCGGGAAAGGCACTGAAATACAGGATGAACAGACTGGGCTGGGCGGTGGAGACAGAATTATCGAATGAGAGGCCAGTACACAATTCCTGGAGCTTGAACTGCATGCGTTGCGAGCATGTATGTTAACAAAATGTCCCTAACAGCCGACATGCTCCAAAACATAACTCATCAAGCTGGTATGTCTATAGTCAACGACAAGCGCGTTCTTCACTATCGAACGTCGCATGAATGCACGAATGCAACACGTCGTACGTCTATGACAAATCCACAGCTCACACCTCCTTCCGCACCTGTCCTACACTTACGCGATTCTTTGCAGCAGACTGACATCGAGCTGGAGGGGCTCCTGGTCCTCCCAGTCGTCGGAGAGGTCGCCGAGTAGGCTCCGCTGCCGCTCCACCTCCTGCACCGTCGCCGGCTCGTACTCCTGACCGTCCTCCAGCACACGGTACCCCCGTCCGTCCGCCACGTAGTTGACCGTCTGCACGCCGCGGTCAGGGGCAGGTCAAGGTCAGGGGAGCGCGGGTCAGCTGGCGGGATTTGCGGGGCGGGTGATCAGGTGGTGATCAGATGGTGATCAGGTGGTGATCAGGTGGTGACCAGGTGGTGATCGGGTGGTGATCAGGCGGTGATCGGGTGGTGATCAGGTGGTGATCAGGTGGTGATCGGGTGGTGATCAGGTGGTGATCGGGTGGTGATCAGGTGGTGATCAGGTGGTGATCAGGCGGTGATCGGGTGGTGATCAGGTGGTGATCAGGTGGTGATCGGGTGGTGATCAGGTGGTGATCGGGTGGTGATCAGGCGGTGATCGGGTGGTGATCAGGTGGTGATCAGGTGGTGATCAGGTGGTGATCGGGTGGTGATCAGGCGGTGATCGGGTGGCGATCAGGTGGTGATCAGGTGGTGATCAGGTGGTGATCAGGTGGTGATCGGGTGGTGATCAGGCGGTGATCGGGTGGTGATCAGGTGGTGATCAGGTGGTGATCGGGTGGTGATCAGGTGGTGATCAGGTGGTCATCAGGTGGTGTGCTGAAGGCGCGTGTTTTGACTTGGCGACCGTCCGTAACACCCGCCAGGGGCGTGGTCCACACCAAGGCGAGCAACACACGAGGAACTATCACATCTAACGAACGGACTGAAAACGAACGCACCGCATGCGAGAGAGAAGGGGATGGAGAGATGGAGAGGCAACCAGGGAAGCTGGTTCGCTCACGTGGTTCAGTCCGCTGGGCAGTTCATATCCGTGCTGTCCGAACAGCACGCCGTCCGCCCGCTTGTACTCGTGTTTGAAGTTGTAGCCGCCGTCGTCTCCCAGACGGCCGGATTGGTAGCCGTACTGGTATGTCCCTGGCGGAGTGGTTCAGTGAAACTCATTGGTAACCGCACTGGTGTGCTCCTGGCGGAGTTATACAGTGAAACTCACTGGAAGTCGTACTGGCATGTCCTTGGCGGAGTGGTAGAATGGAACTCATTGGTAGCCGTATTGCTTGCCCGTGGTAGAGTAGTACAGTGGAACTCAAATTCCGCTCGGATGGTGCAAGGGGAGGAAAAAGCGCCGAAAGCATGTCTTGACTACATTTACACTTTCGGTGCATTGGGAAATAGTGATAGTGAATTGGCGGTGTGCATTCTAAGCTAACACCTTATGGTTGAGAGAGGCGAGAGCCCGAGATGTCATTTGAACGTCCCACACGACACCTGATCACACGACACCTGATCACACGCATGACATTACACGGTTTCTCACCGTCATCATTCTCGATCTTGTACTCGAATCTGTCGTCGGCCTTGACATCCAGAAGCAGCACGTCGTCCTCTGCCGAGTGGGCTTCGTCGTCGAACGAGAACTGCAGGCCATCCACCTGGGCGCCCTGCCCCCGCACGGGGGAGAGGAGCGCGACGACGACCGCCACCGAACAGCAGGCCTGGCGACACGGAGGCGAGCAGTGGCGGTACACGGCGAGACCAGCGGCCACAGGGCCAGGACCACAGCGCCATGGGATGTCTCTCGCTCTACGCCGATGTGGTGAGGCTTACAACCATGGAGAACACGGCAAACGGGTACGGCATGGACATGCACGGGTTTAAGAGTGCGCATTGACGACGTCCTCAACCGCACGGGACTTCTCAGGCAGTGGGAAGGTGGTAGGATCATCACGGAGAGTAAGCGGGTGTATGTCGTGGGGTTTTCTCGTCCTGTGACGGGCCCAGTGTGGGCAGATAGGCGGACAGCGCACTTAAGCTCTTCGAGGACCGGAGGTTAGGACGCATCAGGGTTTCAGGCCCACACATGACAGTTTCTGTGTCCAATTTCCGTTGGCGCGATGATGAGACAAAATCCGCTCGCACGCTTCAGCGAGCGTTTATAGCTGCGTTTCGGCCATCATAAATTATCCTGACAGACATATCGCTCGCCACTGGCTGCCAAGGATTCCCGTACACCTAAATCCCCGTCATCACACACAAGCAAAGTGGCGAGTCATGGCAGGTGCGGGAGGGCTGCCCTGCTAAATGGAGGCCCGCCTCACCCTGCTGCGTTAGGAATCCTCTCCCCCTGTCAGGGACACCAGGTGGGAGGGGTACCGACCCTGGCCATCACGGGTCTGCCCGTAATTTTTGGAGCAAATTTTTGGAACAATGGAAGGCTCGTGATTAGAGGGGTAGCTTTGCTCCGTCAAAGTTCCAATCAATGTAAGGTGGTATGCCATCAAAATGTTTCCGACAAGGGTGTTTGTATGTACAGACTTCCCCTTCACGAAAGCGTCCCACACCGCAACTCGGACACTTATGGCACTTGCCTCGCTGAACAATTTTCCGAACTCTTTTTAGTCAAAAAATGTGACTAGGTCCTGGCCACTGCCTTCTAGCGGTCCAGAGTTCAGAATAAAGGCACACAACTTAAGTCATGCTAAATCATCCTCGGAAACTAAAACAGTGCAAATGAGCCACACTTCTTCGACGATAGAGGTTGACCTTGAGCGCGCCTCGGAACCTAGAAAAAGCGACGTTTAACTGGCTTTTGAGATGAGAAAGCCCTTTTATTGGTATAAATGTACTGCCAAAGTCATACAACTCGTCTACCACAAAAGCAAGCACTTCTTGAGCGTTTCAAACTTTTCGACATGCAAGTGTGCTTGCCATATTAGTTGGAGTTAGAGTTGCGAGTTAGAGGAGATAACAGAATGCGCGCGCGGTGGTTCTGATCGTCCCACTAACAACCCACGACTAGTGGTTGGCCGACTGGCTGGTCTCTGGCGCCCGCAGCCAGCACCGGCGACGGAGTTCAGCCGCGGGCATCGCCAGCCACGCTCGGCTGAACATGAACTGCGAACGGCCTGAGCTCAGCGACCGGGACGGCAGCCTTCCACCTGCGTCTGATCCGGCTGTCTGCGCTGTCACGGCGGTGGTCGCCGCCCCAGAGCCGCAGCGGCATCAGGCGCGGCAGGGCAGAGGATGGGCACCGAGGTTGGATCAAGCGCGGCAGGGCAGGGGGCACCGAGGCGGGATCAGGCGCGGCAGGGAAGGGGGCAACGAGCCTGGATCAGGCGCGGCAGGGTAGAGGATGGACACCGAGGTTGGATCAGGCGCGGCAGGGCAGGGGCATCGAGCCTGGATCAGGTGCGGCAGGGTAGAGGATGGACACCGAGGTTGGGTCAGGCGCGGCAGGGCAGGGGGCATCGAGCCTGGATCAAACGCGGCAGTGTAGAGGACGGGGGCCGCGATACGGCGGTCGTTCACAGGCGGCACCGGCCCGCTGCCCCGACCACCTCGCAGTGCACTCACCTGTCCGCTCTAGTGATCACCGGGTAATGCCAGACGTGGAATGGGTGGCGGACTCCACCAGCACTGACAAGCGCAATGCTTTAAGAGTCGCGTACGTCTCGGCCGGCCACATGCCGCCTCTCGAAACGGAGCTCTCGGCACGGACCTGACCAGAATTTGTCTGCCAAGAATCAACCATCAGCCACCTCCCGGGAGACGCAGACATTCTGCCCCGCTACCGGGAGGCCCTCACGCCTCGTCCGCCCCGCTACCGGGAGGCCCTCACGCCTCGTCTGCCCCGCTACCGGGAGGCCCTCACGCCTCGTCCGCCCCGCTACCGGGAGGCCCTCCAGTTCTTAGTCCCCGGCGCGGCGGGCGGGTTCGTCCCCTGCCGTGCGCAGCTCTGGTTGTCTGCGGCTGCGCTACCGGCCCGCCCCGCCAGTCATGGACCTCTACAGGTGTTTGAACCGCGTGTGGTCGCCGCCGGCGGCTGTGGCGAGCGATGCCAGCGCTGGCGGCATCGCTGGCGCGGCCTGTGCCATTAAGCGCTTGGTTACAAGTGGAAGGGTCTCTGATGAGAGATTTCACAAGACATATACGGCGTACTCTGGTGTGAAATTCCGGCCCATGGGGGCTCCTGCCCATAAGTATTGACCTTTCCGAAAATAAGCTTCCCCGGTTCTCTTCTTGAATTGAAGCTCGTAATGTTTTAAAATACCGCCTTTTCCGCTTCTGCCTTTTCAAATGTTTGTGCATTGCCAAAGGATGCAAGGTGATGTCTGTAAATATGTTCGCAATAAGTGTGCTTGAGTTGTTGAGCCAAAGGCCAAAGGGCAGCTACATTAAACCCGTTCAGGAGGGCCGCAGATACCGGATGGAACACTCAGCTGGAATTTTTGCTGTTTGATAAAAGGGCAGCGTGTGATTGGAAAAACCTGAGCCCCTCCTAACACGCTAAGGTTGGGTGATGGGCGATGATGAAGGTGGCTTCAATCTCCTTTTTGGACACGCAAAAAGATGGTCTCAACATGAACGTGTGCTTTCAAGGACGCTTTAAGCCATGGATGTAGTGGTTCAACATTAAATAAAAAATAGTTAAGATGCTGTACCTAAGAAAATTGTTATTTGAGTAAAGAAAATGTCAGGCATCCCTTCATTAGACGTGGGCAGCATAACAAATATCACATATATATATATATATATATATATATATATATATATATATATATATATGTAAATATATGTGTGTGTATAGGTTATTTTGACAAGTTCGTGAAGGGCGTTAAGTTTCAAATGAGGATGCCAGCTTCAAAGCCACAGCAATTTTTCAACTCGATTCAACACTTAAGTATTGACAGAATGCATTTGCTTTCAGTGGAAATGCGAACTTATGAGTTGACTTCGGTAACTCAGTGTGAAATGCGCATGCATGCATACCACCAAAATTCTGGGAGTTATGTCGACTAAAAGCAAACACTGCGGTTTTGTGTAGGAACAAGGAAATCCTGTACAAGCTGGGCAACTCAGGATTTTTGTCATACCTAAATCTCGAGATACTCTAGGCACCGTAATGAAATAAAACGTATTTATATTGAAGCACACCGTTACAGAACAATTCTCCAAAACGTGTAGCGGGGCTCGTTTCAGTCTGAAGTTATGGCGAGTCTGTGTGTGGCGGCTTAGCCAGACGAACTGTAAGTCTATTTCACGTTTTCTAAATCGAAGCGCATGCTTTTTGTTGTCTATAACTAAGTTATGTCAAAGCATGGCCCACTACCAGTATCGCATCTGCCTAACGGGCGAAGTTTTGACAATAATGACTGTTTATTAAGATAGCACGTCATGCTCGTCCCAATTCGTATTTTACTGACAGAGCACACAAACAGCGAGCATTCGTGGTACACGGATCGAGCATGTGGGATACCAGTCAACCGCACCTACAGCAAGAACTTCGAAATATAAATTGGACCCTTCATTGCGTATAATAATTAACTGCCACGCATAATGGCACAAAACATGTAACAGTTTGTTATCGATAGCTTCATTTACTCCAGATACTTGGTTTGGCCTGCCTATTTTTGCTTGCTGCACTGCTTCTAACATTTGATGATTATTTCTGCAGACAGAGCAAACGTTCCGACACGCTGTACCCATAACGCTTGATGGCGAAATTCTTGGTACGTTTTCACGACTGCAAGGTGATAGCAAATAACTGGGAGGTTTGGGTTCCGAGCATGGTGATGCTGCTGCTTGTCATCAAAGGAGGAGATACTAGCGATGTTCCGTTAAAACCAAGGTTGTCGTACATTTGCTGACGCTTGCGTCTGTGCTAACTGCCAGCACGAGTCTGCTCACAACTGCCATGCCGTTTTGACAGCGGTCAAACTTTCAAGATAAAAAGCAAATTGGGGACAGCAGCGCGGCACAAAAACAATGCTGTGAAAGACTGCGACGACAAACGGAAACGCATCCTAACAATGCAGCACCTGCTGCGACACTAAACCATTATCATGCCACAGTTACAAGTCAGATGAAGGGCTAAGTGAAATACTGAGAAGCAAATACTATCAAGTACGTCTGATGCTGCGGTTATGCGTATCCTTAGCTAATCGGTTTTCAAATAGCGTACTGGACACCTTGCGGCGTAAGTGTAGCTGTTCACTCCAATACCGGTCAGTGAGGATAATCGCGTACACACGGTATCTTGACACACAAGCCCATCCGATGTCAAGGTTGTAAGTTGTGTTAAAAAGTCTCAGATACTCCATGTTACAGATCCACTTTCTATGATTGGGTATATAAACATAGTTTCAAACCAGACACCACGCACTGCACTTTGGAATCAAATAATGACACTCTTTGACTTGAATCAGCTTTAGTCAGCAGATGGGTTAGAAGGCACATGAAAAAGGTCAGGACGTGATTTGACCTCACTTGACCAAACGTGACAGGTGGATTTGGTTTGCTTGGGCTGGTGGGATTGGGACCCTTCGACAGGCAATGGCCATTTGAGGACTATGGGATGAAAGGTCAATGGTGGAGCAAGACCGCGGCCATCTGGGAGTCCTCCACTGCCGGTACCTGCCCTGCCCAGGGAACCTGCTTTGGACTATGTGTCGTTGCTGGGGCGGGGCTTCTGTCAGGAGGGAGGGGCACTTTGGCACGCTCGTGGCTGACAGCCACTGGCTGCCGCGGAGAGACGGGGCGATGCGGGGAATCAGGATAGTGAGGGACTGATACAGGACAGGATAGTGAGGGACTGAGGAAAGCAAGCGTGATGACACGGGGATAGCCTGAACCGACTCTAAAGTATCTACCAAATGAGAATCATGCACGACGTACAGGGAAATCGTCTCTTTTCTTCTTCATTGGGCAAATCAGGTGTGAAGTCGCCCGGAAGGTGGAGGCCGTACCACCCTGGCCCGTGCCAACCTAATTAATTATGTGTCAACTCCCCGACCCTCCTTACGCCGCGGAAAACAGCAAAAATGCCGAGGACAAAATGGTGCTCTGAACCCTGGTCTGGGAGCGAAAGGAGGGATGAAACCTCGATGCGTACATACCAATTTCAGGTGCATTCCGAGGATCTCCGTACGTTCAATAGGCAGTTCTAAAGGTGTCCTATGGCCGCCTTCCTATCCAATCGGCTAAACAAAAGCTAAAATGCGTTATGTTCATAGGATAAAAATTAGTTTCGACGTAGAACCAATGACTAAAATCTTGCATGCCTCTTTGAAAAACATCACCGAGCGTGCTCAAACACCGTGTGACAAGAGTGCGGAAATTTGCAAGAATGTTTTGCGGGAGAGGATTGTGACTGGAATATGGCTCTGCGATAGTAACCATCATTATCGATTTTTGTTTATGCTTGTAAAGTAAATTATCTCGAAAGGTGTTTAATTTCCAGAAGTGAGGCCAACTCTTTATCCGTTTCTCCTAAGCTAGCAAAAACGACCGCTCCGACGGTTGACGCAGCCTTGTTGACGTCAGCGTCCCAGCCCAGAGCCAGCTGGGACGCTCGGCGGGGCGGCACGAGGCGCCCTGTTCGGACTGCCCGTCTCGACCGCTTACCTGGAGCTTCATGACGCCGTGACTCCGGGGCGGACACTGGCGGCGGCCGGCGCTCCTCCGCTGTTATAGCCGCGCCGCGCCAGTGGAGACCGGGCCCGCGCGACGGTGGCTCCTTCCGGGCCGGCCGGCCGCGCTCCTCGCCGTCCGTTCTGCTCGGTGCGTCACGCGGGGCGGTCTGGAGTCACGCCGCGTCACGCGGGGCGGTCTGGAGGCACGCCGCGTCTCAAGGACGCGAGGAAACTGAGCGGAGTTCGTCGGCTTTGCCTATTCCTTGGTTCGTTCACCCGAATCAAGGCATGATGAAGTAATCTGCACTTGACGGATACAGATAGACGAATGCGCAGATCTGCATACGCACTCGCGGATCCACAGTGCTCCTCCAAAAACGCGCAAAAAGGAAACTATCACTCAGCTGAAACGCGCAAATGACGACACATCTGAGGTATAGCTGTTCAATGACTGCAATTTGGCAAGTGCACAGTCTATAAACTGATTCGGACTTACTTCACACCGACCAGCTCTCGGCGTATCAGAATGTTCAAGTGATCAGCTTCGTTGCTGGGTGAGAAATTTAAAACACATTTGTGTGTCGTGCAAGTAATGTGGAGTTCTTTGCCTCACCTGTTCGGCAGCAAGTGGTACCGATAGCAAGACTGATCCTCTGCATATGCCCAGTTGCAAAAAAACATATGAACCGACTGGGTTGTTGTTTATGGAGGAAATCTGGTCCTCAATGACCATTGCCCTCTTACCGGGAATGTTTCAAATCTGAGGTTATGCGGCAGCGTCAGGTGTATTGGAAAACGCTCACTTGCAAGCAATGGTGTGTTTTTAAGTGCTAAAGATTGCTCTACAAAACAAAATTGCACTGTTTAGTACATATTCTTCCGCATACATCCTCGTTAGATCATGCCACGGGGCGTTTTATGGCGTCAGGGTCGCTGCCAGACCGTCCGTGTCAGAATTGCCACTGTAGGAGATGGGCTGATCAGTAGCACTTCCTTCCGCCGACAGATGGTCTGATCAGTAGCACTTTCTTCCGCCGAGAGATGGTCTGATCAGTAGCACTTTCTTCCGCCGAGAGATGGGCTGATCAGCAGCACTTTCTTCCGCTGAGAGATGGGCTGATCAGCAGCACTTTCTTCCGCCGAGGGATGGGCTGATCAGTAGCACTTCCTTCCGCCGAGAGATGGGCTGATCAGTAGCACTTCCTTCCGCCGAGAGATGGTCTGATCAGTAGCACTTCCTTCCGCCGAGGGATGGGCTGATCAGTAGCACTTCCTTCCGCCGAGAGATGGGCTGATCAGTAGCACTTCCTTCCGCCGAGAGATGGTCTGATCAGTAGCACTTTCTTCCGCCGAGGGATGGGCTGATCAGTAGCACTTCCTTCCGCCGAGAGATGGTCTGATCAGTAGCACTTCCTTCCGCTGAGGGATGGGCTGATCAGTAGCACTTCCTTCCGCCGAGAGATGGGCTGATCAGTAGCACTTCCTTCCGCCGAGAGATGGTCTGATCAGTAGTACTTCCTTCCGCCGAGCGATGGATTTCTAATTTATGCATGTGAACTAAACCTACGCTTGTTATGTTCGCATATTTTGGCCATTTCTCGTAGCGTCCTTGCATATTTTTCGCTATGGCGTGTTTTTTCTGGCACTTGCATTGTCGGTTACGGCGCTATTCCTAATTTCTTCGATTCCCACACTAATTTCTGTCATAACTAGCAGAACCGCTCATATGCCTGTAACATGTATAACAAAACGCAGTCCGTGTTCGAAAATTGGATTTGAAGCTTTTAGCAGGGTATGACACCTTCTTGCAATTTACACTCAGTGTTAAATCAGACGTGTGCGATTTGATCGGCGATCCCAATTTTTATTCGAAATCCTTCTGAATAGCTCAAAATTTTTATTTGAAGTAATTGCTCCGACGGGATAAATGTGACCGGACTCCCTGCTCACCACTATGAAAGTGATGCGTTTCATTTATCTTGTATTTTCAACACGTTTCATTTGTAATGTTTACGATGCGCCAATTCGTCTAAGCTTTGCTCTAAGAGACGTTACACAAGCTTGAAGCACTCTATTTAGGGCCAAAAAATGTACAAATATGAGGCTATGATCACATGAATTCCACGAAACGCTATTCCATGTCTTTTGTTTCTCCCTACCGCGCTAAGCACAGTGACCCTTTTTGAAGAACATTTTAGCTTTGAGAAACAGAGTACCGCACGGTCTATAGTGACGCCTCGGTTCCAACTAACCAAAACCCAGAATCACGTGACTGCCGGAGGTCGCGCCACCGGCGGCGGAACAGTGGCTGCTGTGCAGAGGCGGATCCAGGCATCACCGAGAGAGGCTGGCTGGCCGCCGTCTGCAGCGGCGCCGCGCGGGGCCACTGGAGACTGAGAGACTCCGCGGTCCGCGGCACGACTATGATCGCGCTCTCACCCGGCTGTCGTGTGCGCCACCACCTGGGTCCGCCGCTGCCGCTGGCCGTGCCATACCGGCCCGCGTGGGACACCGGCCGGCGCGCGCCGGGCTGGGGGCGGGTGAGCGGCCGGCCGTCCCCACCATTCCCCGCTGCCTGGCGCGGCCGGCTCGGCTGACCGTGCGTCAGACCATCCGCCGGGTGTCTGGCGATTCGGCTGGGGGAGCGCCTACATCGGCTAACCGTGCATAGTCCGACCCGCGCCCGTCTCTTCTGCCTGCTGACGGCATAAGTGCAACACAAGCCTGCAAACGGTTGCGTATCTGCCATGTCAACGTACAATCACTCATGTCATCTGACAACATCTGCGTTCATCTGTTACTGGAGGGAGAGCATCTTGACTGTCTCTGCATCTCGGAAACATGGGCATCTCCGATCAGCGCCGTCGACAGTCTTCTTCTCTTCCCTGGCTTCAAAATACACCGGTTCGGTCGTCAGACTCCTTGCGGCGGCAGACGGGCTGTTCGCGGCGGCGGTGTCCCATCGTCCTCCGCGAGGAGCCCTCTGCACGCGGGCTCGACACATCAGACCCGGCGGGAGGGCTGGAGGCACTATGGCTGGACATCACCGGCAGGAGCACCAGATCAGCTGTCGTGGGCGTCGCCTACCGTCCCCCGGACTCACTACCTGACTCTCTGGCTGACCTCCGTGATCAGATAGAGGACATCATGAGCATGGGCAAGACGTTATTTCTTCTTGGCGACTTCAACCTTGACGTTCTGAACCCAAACAAGCCCCGTGTACAGCAGAAGGTCACCATGCTGCACGACCTAGGACTTCACCAGCTGGTTCGGCAACCCACCCATCCAGCTATTATTCCCACCCTCATCGATCACATCATAACCAACATTCCTTACTAGGACTTCACCAGCTGGTTCGGCAACCCACCCATCCAGCTGTCATTCCCACCCTCATCGATCACGTCATAACCACCATTCCTGATATCACGCATCACGCCAAAGTGACCGCATGCCACATCAGCGATCACAACGTTATCACTCTGGACGTACCTTTCCCGAAAATGCAAACTACCCAACGGCACATTACAGTCAGATCGACAGCGAACACCGACTTCATCCACCTAATGCACGACCTGTTGTTCGCTGACTGGCAGCCCATCTACAGTGCCACTTATGCCGATGACAAATACGCCGAGTTCCTGAACATCTGGAACCTGCACGTCAACGCTCACTGTCCTGTCAAGACGATCAGCTGCCGCCGCCCTGAGTGTCTCTGGTTGAGCGGGAGCGAGGAGCTGCAAGACCTGCAGGCGGGGCGCGACACCGCTCGGCGCGCGCGTGACGTCACGGGGACGGACGAGGCTAAACGTCAATACAGGACCCTCAAAAAGGAATTCGCTAGTCGGCCCAGGACGGCCAAAGCTGACTTCTTCCAGTGCGACCCTACCGAAACATCAAAGGACACCTGGTGTAAGCTGAAGAAATATGCCATCGCTAACCAACCGGCAAAATCCACCAACACTGGACCCGACAGACGCCGCCAAATTCAACGAATACTACGCCGCAGTGGGACAGCGTATTGCCGACACCCTGAACACCAATCCCGATGCGGACCTGTCTCTGCGGCTGCCAAGGGAGGCCAGCGGCGCTTTCCGCGTCAGACCGGTCACCCTGTCGGAGCTTAGTCTCGCGCTGCGCCGCATGAGCAACTCCACGGCAGTAGGCCCGGACAATGTATGCCTATCCGTGTTCAGAAAGTGTTTTGGAGTGACTGGCCCTCACCTGTTTCGCATTGTAAACCACTCTATCACCACTGGTAGCATCCCGGCCATCTGGAAGCTTGCGACAATCGTGCCTTTGCACAAGGGGGACTGGCGTCTGAGTCGTTAAATTACAGGCCTGTCAGCGTTCTCAGTGTTGCAAGCAAGCTGACGGAGAAGGCTGTCTGTACCCAGCAGCAGCCACCGACAGCAGCCATTCAGCGCCAGCGCCTGGATAAGGCTATTAACTTCGCGGTCAGAGTTGTCGCCTGCAAACGCAGACGAGATCACGTCACAGAATCCCGAAAACAGCTGAATTGGCCCAATTTGACGAGACTGTCACCCATTGCTACTGCATCTACGTGCCTGATGGACCACGGGCTACCAGTAATCTGATCAGGCACCGATCTGAAGTATCTCAGCGGCACACGAAAGCCACCGATGGTACTGCAGACGAGCGCTGTAAAACACCCTCGCTTAGAGTGCGTGAAAAGAGCATTTCCCTTTCGAGCCGTAGCGGCGTGGAATCGCCTCCCTGGTGCCACACGCCAGTGTAAAACTTAAATGAGCTCAAGGGCAAAGCAATGTCCTTCATGAGAGAACTCGCCTAAATTGACTAACTGGCGATGACGTGCAGGTGCTGATTGTATCACAAGTCGTTCATGCTTTATAACATCGTATGCGTATCGCTAGCGTTGCGTCTCATTTGCATGTGTTGCGTGTTCTGTGAACTAGGATGAGCATTAAAATCGCCTTAAGCCAGCAGAGGGGGAGGAAGTTGAGAGACTAACTCCCGTAGTCCTCCAGATGGAAACGGAGCCCCAGGTGGTAAGTAGAGA